AGAGAGCCTTTTTTTAACCCCCTTTGGAAAAAAAAAAAAAAAATATTCCCCCCTTGTGTTTGGTCCCTGGGGAGGGGAAAAAAGTTTCCCCTCTCTGGGGAGAGGTGCCAAATGTTTTAACCCGTAAAACAGATAAAAATTAAGGGTTGCCCCCCCCCCCCCCCCCCCCCCCCCCTCCCCCCCTTTCTCAAGATGCCGAACACCCATAGCAGGATGCAGCGCACCCTCCATGCCACTCGAATACCTCATGGCGCTTCGCGCTTGGTGATGTGAGAGCCTGGTCCGATGAGAACCCCGCGTACTCCGTCCCAGCTTTGTAGGGATGCGAGGTCAATGGTCTAACCGCTAAGGCATGCAAAACATAAGAGTACGCCCCCCCCCCCCTTCCCTCTGAGAAACCTGTTCATCCCATCCAGACTCGGGGGCAGGCAGGCATCTCACCAGTTCAACGACAGGCCAAAACACGATGATGGGCATGCTTGCTATCGACCGCCCTGCCTCCTTGATTACTCCGATCGCGAGAGCTATCCTCTTGGCCAAGAAGCAGAAGAGGCACGTCCACAAGAAGGCTAGCACCTGCAGGCAACGAAAAGGCGCCCGGAACGGCGGGTTTGGTCTTGGTCCTCTGATGCCCACCAAGCACAGGGCGTGGAGCGTAACGCCGACGAGCTACTACCGGGCTACCGTCCGTATAGAGCGACACGCAAGCCTGTGATGTGAGAGCGCTGATGCATTCTTGTCGCGTACGCCACCAAAAACTGGGGGAACACTCCGCCCTCTTTTCGAGGAAGTACGTTGTTGCGAACGAAAACGCATCATCCACGCGGTGACAGCAAAAACAAAAACGAACAACACTACTGCTGTTAGAAAAAAACAACAGGCCACAAACATACGTGATCGTTGCAGGCAGACAGAGCGCGCACGACAATAGGCGTGGGCAAAACAAAAAACGACGTCCCTACAGCAGTACACGTGTCCATTGTCACTCACCCACGCAACCACGGCGCAGGCGTAGGCTGCCGTGACGATATACTGATCGTTCAAGAGAGCAAACGAACAAAACAGAGGGGCGAGGAAAGACGGGAGGGGTTCAGCTTGAACATTGTACGGTCGTCGAGTGCTCGGAGGCCACAGCTCAGAGGCGGGACATCAAGACGGGCGTGCTATTCAACATGAGAAAAAAAAAAAGTGTGCCAAGAACGCCTGCTGCGGGCGGTGGCGAGCGTTCTGTAAACAGTCGAGCGAGAATTCAACAAGCTCAAGAGCTTTCGAACATTTTTGCGGTGGTGCGCTGCGAAAAAGAAACAACGTCGAATGTCTCGACCAAACCAGAGCGCACTCCTGAACCCTCTCTTCCTTCGATCCCAAACCGCGCGCTCACCGACCCCCAAGACCGGGCACACAAAAAACATGCGGGTGCCACTTGTGTCGTACAGAAAAAATGCCCCTGAAGGGACGACGTGCATCATGGCGCACACTACGGGCTTCGGCAAAATGGGAGCTAGGAAAAGGTCGTTGTGGAATCGTGGAGTGTCGTCTACGGAGACTGAATGTTCCATGGTATGAATAACTGTCCACCACGTTCCGTGGTATGGATAACTGCGTCCCCAAAACTGAAAAAACAACACTACCCAAAACGAAAACAAAACAACACCCAACCTACACATACAATCGAAACCCGTTTGTTCCGTATAGGTACTTGTTGTCCATGAAGTTCCGCGGTGTGGATATTCCATGAAATTTCGAAATTTCCTTGGTACGGATACGGCTGTGCCGCAACTCACGTCCTCCTTGGTCCCGTCGTCGTCCCAGTCCACGGCCGTGACCCACAGCCCGTACCCCAACCCCAGCAGGCACAGCAGCACCAGCAGCACGCAGGACCACACCAGGATGGCCACAAGGAACGGTATCTGGAGCAGTCCGATGTAGACGAACGCCACCAGCGTCGCCACGCCGAACCCGAACCCGAAGACGTAGGCCCTCGCCGTGATCACGTCCGCGATGAAGCTCGACAGGTAGTTGGCCAGGTCCGACTGCTCCACGTTGTCCCAGATGTCCGTGTCCGTGAACACGCAGTAGTTCACCACTGTTGTGCATCGAGAAAGCGAGACAAAAAAGAGAGTGTGGCGTGTTGATTTACCGCGGATGGAGAGGGGCATTGTCGTCGTCGGTAGCTTACGGTATGTTTAGGAATTATTCGGGGGGGGGGAGGGGTCGTGGTGACGGGGGGAGGGATTTTCCGCCGCGAGGGAGACAAACCGCTCGGCTCTGATATCTTCCAGATGGAGAGGGTACTATCCACGGATGCAACAAGACCCACGTGTGCTGCCAATCTTGTAGGGAGGCCGTTACCCGCAATTGCTCCCCTTCCACAGGCTGCGGGCAAAAGCGGAGAGTGGAAAGAAAGAAAAAAAAAAACGAAAAACAACGACAGCCGTCCTCTCGCCGCGTCCGCCTTGGCACTTGCAGCAGCACTGCTGACAGGCAGAAACGCGAGTGGCCAAACAATCCGCTTTTCCATCCCATCTAGACTAAACCCATCGCTTCGCCGTCCGATCCCCCACGCTGCCGCACACCCGCATATCCCGGCCTTCATCGCACCTTCGACGCTCTCATACTGGGGATTGCAGTACCCCGCCAGTACGGCCTCCTCGTTGTCCAGGTCGTCGGGACGATCGTACCGGCAAATCACCACGCTGTTGACACAACAAAGCAAGAAAAAACGACACGACAGAACGAGGGGACGGGGGGATGACAAGGGTTGGTTCCTTGTGTTAAGAAATCCATGTTAGTCCCGTGGCATGCGACCGACGCTGGTGCCGCGATGGACAAATAACGGGGGAAGGGGGCGACACTGCCATGTGCCACTTGGTCACCGCCGTGTTCCCGACAGCGGTCACGGTTTGAGGCCTACTCTCTGTCGCGAATGGTGATTTCCCGGTCGGAACTCCTGCCCGCACTGCCGTGAAACCTAGCCGAATAGTTTTATAGCACAAAAAACACGTATTTGTTCGGCACTGGTTCGCGGCACGCCCCGGTAAAACCGCCAACCCATGGAAAACCCGGACATCATCACAAGAGACAGTCAGCGAAGTCGAAGTTAAGTTTGGTGCCACTCTGATATAGCCCTCGTCTGCTCTTTGTCAGAAAATAATACCAGGTAGGCCGTTTCGGACTGGAAATTTTCCCAGGAAAACAGGTTTCAGATTTTGAGATCAGCACCCGTTCCCTAGAACGGTTCTCAACAGTCCCGCCTGTAGTTTCGTGAGAAATGAGACAGCTCAGATTCAGAAGATGGCAACTTGGTGTACACAGCAATCGACACCGTGTCACGCGGAGAGTCAGCCTTCATCGAGACGCCAGGGGCAATATCTCCGAACGTCCCCAACACGCAGCGGTCGCTTCAAGTCCGAAAAATCGGAGACTTTCGCCATCCAGGACAGTACATTTTACCATCCGTGCGAAGGGATCTTTACTTCTAAATTTACTGTCTCCTCATTGGTTGGAGATGCGCGTGCGCGCGCTCGCTCGGTGAACCTCTTTTTGGTTCTATTCACAAAGCTCTCCTGGGGTGGGGAAACCCCGGCGCTGTAGCTACATTTCTCCGCACGCCGCGCACGAGGTGCGCGTGCTGTGAAGGACGGACAGGGCGGCCGTGCTACCTTATCGACACGTAGCCTCTAGAGAGAGCATTGCATAGCGTGGCTTCCACCGTTGGCCACCACAGCAGCGGTCAGTCGTTGATGCAAGGAGGTGAGCGGCATGCTGCCGAGCACGCGCTCTGCTGGCGGCGCGCATCATGATGCTGATCATGATGCAGGCGCGGATGACTGCGTGGATGGTGCGGCTGGTCGCCAGCACAAGCCGTTGTCGCACCCCTTGCCCGCAGCCCCATGCGCGAACACTGGAGAGAGTTCCAACTTCTTGCAGCAAAACCCTCCTCGAGAACGGACAGCGACCTCTTCCGGTAGCGAGCCGTCGGGCAATTCCCATCTGTCGGTCAGCGGCGCGCCTGGCGGTGTAGCCACCGTCGCGAACACATTTCCTTGCGACACTCCTGCGGCTATCGGAGCGGCTCGCAGAAGTGTGAGTGGACGTGAATCACCACCAGCGAAACGCCACGCGTCGCAAAGCCCATCATCCCGGCGGAGTTTGGGACGAGATGCAAGAAATTCATGCGAGGGCTTCGGGGCCGGTGAACGTCGCGGCAGGGTGCTGCACTCGTTCCTTGCTACAGCTGTGCAGATGTCCCAAGCATCGGAGGCCTTGGGGACGCCAGGGGAGCTATCAGGTGATGGTTTCGAATTCGCGGAACCACATACGCCCCTGTCGTCTGCCATTGGGGTACATACGGGACCGGGATACTGCTCTACCGGTACGCACGGGCCGAGTGCACCACTACTACATTCGGAGGTAGAGGGAGTAGCGCAGCT